CTCTAGCACCCACATAAATATTGGCAGCTGTGGTAGACAGAGGAGATGGATCCCTGAAGCTAAATGGCTAGCTAGAGCATCTAGGTTCTACAAACCGATTTTATCAAGAAACCCAGCCACAATACATAAGGGGGACAATGGTTGAGGAGGACACCTGCCATCAACTTCTGACCTCTAAACACTTGCACACAATACACATCCCCCAATTCAGAACACACACACACACACACACACACACACACACACACACACATCTCTTTTAATAACAAGTGCTGTAGTGCTATGGAAGTCTGGAGAGATGGCTCAAGAGTTAAGACGATGTACCGCTCCTACCAAGGACCCAATTTCAGTTCCCAGCTCATAATTTTTGATGCACCACCACCTGTAACTCCAGCTCCAGTGACACTGACACACTCTCCTGGACCTTGTGGGCACCAGCTTTGTGTATGCACATCCTCCCCTTTTCTACAGACAACTAAACTAAAAGAAAATCAAACAAGGTTTTAAGAGTCATGTGATAGCAATGATTAGAGTGACTGGTGCCTACAGAGAGCTTATCCCAGGCCTCCCATTATCCCCACAGCAGCTGCCACTCCCAGCAGCACTGGGAGTGCATAGTATTATTCTGAATTGTTCAGAACTGGCAGGGCAGAGAAGTTAGCCTACTCACCACATCGTGAAGCTAGATGGTAGAGAATTGGTTTTGTGCTACTCTAAACTTCTGCTCTTGCAAAGGTGGTCTGTCCCCTTCTTTCCACACCAATGCAAGACAAACTCTGGTCTGTAATGGGCTCCTTAGGTGTGGGGGCTTTTATAGCAAGGCAGAGGCATATGTATGATGCCAAGAAAACAGTGATCCACTTGTGTCTCAAGAGTTGTGCCATGAAGAAGGAGGTATTTTAAGATTATGAGTGTCATTTTCACCCAAGGATGCATTTTCTTTAGAAGAGGAAGCCAACTTATAGATGAGTACTATTGATCATGAAGAGACTCTTGGCACTGGCTTTTTGCAAGCGATCTGCCACTTTCCATCTTTAGAAGTCTGTAGCAGTTTACAAAGTGTGCTCAGTTAAATTGTTTTTGTTTTCCCCTCCTATATTCCTTTTAAGTTCTTCATTCTGGGGATAAATCACTGATCAATTCACAGCTGGAATGGAAATGCTATGACACAAAACCTTGTTTTTTTTTTAAATGCTAAAATTTCATATTTTGATTTAGTGTGCTCTGTTCATTTTTTTGTCATAAGTGGCACCAACTGGGACATCAGTTTTGGTGCTACATCGTTTAGTTTGCTCTGTGTGTGTGTGGTTTTCATCTTTTCTCCCATCTTTTCCATTTAGATCCCGAGTAAAGAAAAACTCCTACTAAGAGAAAAGTGAAAACAATGCAAGTATAATTCATAAGTCTTTTTCGCAGAGATGAACTACTTTTCACAGGCCTTGCTTACTTTAGTCAGAAAATGAATATGTTGGGTTCTTTATGGTTTCTCACTTTGTCTGAGTATGTATGATGGTAAAATAAAGTCTCATCGACTTCGTATGACTTACATATACTAAATATTTGGATCAGTAAAGAGCACATGCCTCCCCCAAATCCTCAGCCATCTGCTTCCTTCTTTATACAACACCTGGCAAGACTAGATGAGTTTTCACGGTCCTTCATACCCCCACATTCTTGCAGAATACTTGATGAGTTTTTTTTTTTTTTTTTTTATGTCAGTGACCATTTACTAGCTTGTATTTGTGCTGATGACTGTACTGCTTCCAAATGTTCTTCCTTTTGGATGTCCACAAAGTAAGTTAATCACAATTCAGCTTCTGCAAATCTCACTGTGATCAGAACAAGAGTATCTGAATCATAGATTCAGATCAAAAAACACACAGACTTCAACTGGAGAAAACAAACGCTCAAAAGAACCCACAGGCCTCTTGTTCCTCTGTCATGGTGGTATGCTACCTGGACCTAATAGACCCGTGGTCCCACCAATCATTGGGGTGACACTGGAGCTCAATCCAGAAACAGCTGTCCAGAGCTAATTTATTTCCTAATGCTGAGGCACTGTTAATTTATAAATTACACTGGTAATTTGAGCTATTATTAATTTCAGATGGTGTAGGGCAAGCCTAATTAAAATATGACACCAATTGCCACACATATGTACCAAGGACTACCATTTAAAATTAATGGGAATATTAAGTGTGACACTGGTCTCTGAGATGCTTTGCACAGTAATTATAGAATTCTAGCGCAAAAAGATCTGACAAATGTTAGCCTGCAGTTAATAGTAAATAAACAACAGCCATGTAAGAGGATCCACAATTTCTTCACTAGAATCCCTCTCATTTCCTCTACACTTCCTCAAGCCGAGGTTCTAAAGTGTGTGTTAATCTAAAACAATACTGACACAGAATTTTCTTACAGAAACTGTGAGTCTTTGGCGGTTCAAGCTGATGGTTTTCTGTGCTAGGCTGTGAGCCTACTTAATCAGTATACCCTTGCTTCTTCCGGTGAATTAATGTTTTTCATCTTCTTTATCAGAGATGTTGGTACCTCTTTTCTCCTTCAAAGGGAATAAAAAGAAGAAAATGTTGGTACCCATGCAGTATAGATTCCATATGGCTAAATATATGTAAATGAGTGTTCTGGGTCAGTATGATGTGGCTGGATGGTTACACAAACTTAGAGTCTTAGTTAGGTTTTCTTAATTTATTTAACTTCATTTGATGTGCATTGGTGTGAAGGTGTTGGATACCCTGTTACTGGAGTTACAGACAATTGTGATCTGCCATGAGGGTACTGGGAATTGAACCCAGGTCCTATGGAAGAGCAACCAGTGCTCTTAAGCACTGATCCACCTCTCCAGCCGCTTAGTTAGGGTTTTTATTGTCATGAGGAAACGCCGTGACCATGGCAACACTTATAAAGAAAACATGTAATTGGGGTGGCTTGCTTTCAGTTTCAGAGGTTCCATCCATTATCATCATGTTGGGGAGCATGGAAGCAGGCAGGCAGCTGTGGTGCTGGAGCTGAGAGTGCTACATCTTTCAGGCAGTAGGAAGTCAACTGACTGTCACACTGAAGGGAGCTTGAGCAAAAGAGACTTCAAAGCCCATCATCCCCAAGGATGGCTAAAAATTGCCCGAGAGTGGAGAGTAATTGCTTTTTTCTTACAAGACAATGGGGTGTGTTTACTTTTCTATTATTGTTGCTGCGATTGTTACCGTTGACATGACAAGAGTGAGGATAACGCTGTCATATAGGGCTACAGCTTGCATGCCATGCACAGCCTTCTTTGTATTATGTGAGTTTCTTAGACATTGATTTCACATTCTGGGTGAACAGATGCTTGGGACATTATGGAGGGATTTCATGACCTAGAGCCCAAAGTCCCTGTTCCATTTCTGGGGCTGTCCACATGAATGTGGCTGCATCCAACCTTCCTCTGTGCTTCTCTGAAGCTTTTAGGATTAACTACACTACCAGGTGGGCACTACACGAACATTTCCAAATGCTTTCATGTGTGTTGTGTTATTTTTATTTGTTGCTCTCAGTAACTCCATGAGGTATCAGGCCTGCTTTGTAGGTTACACCTGGAAAAAAACATTTCTTCATTTCTAGGGATATTCCCAATTTCAGTTTGTTGTCCCAGAGTTAACCATAATGCCCCCTGCTGTTCACTTTTTATAGTATCCTACTTTAGGATATTGTCATTCTCATTATCCTCATTTAACAGTTTAGGAAGGATAATCCCAGAAGGTAAACAGCATTTTCCTTCTTTACTTTAAGTACAACTAAGGCATAGGGCAGGTTTGAGACAGAACTTGGAAAGTTATTCTCTAAGTGTCTTGGGCTTAGCCAGGTGTTGTGACATATGCTTGTCATTCTAGCACTGAGGTGGAGACAAGAAGATCAGGCCTGAGGGCTGGAGAAATGGCTCAGCCTTTAATGTCTAGGCTCACAACCAAAAATATAAGAAGGTCAGGTGTGCAAGGTCTAGGCAACTTAGTGAGCCTGAGGCCAGCCTTGGGGATAGGAGACCATATCTGAGAGAGTGGGGACAATGGGGAGGCTTAGTCTTTGTATAACTGGATAACTATTCTTCATGTGTGGAATGTGGTATAGATGTGGTATCATTATTAATGATGTTTCACTAGAGCTGTGAAATCAAATTTCTGAATGCTTATGTGACTGGGAAAGATTTGTAGTCATGAATTCTTACTCTTCACTTTCTGCTCTTCTTGTGGTTTGACATCATGTGTGTGGTCTCCAGGTTGATTAGTTTTTTGAGTTTTATGCCTAAGACTTCCAGGAGATCAATGTCTGGAAAATTGATATTCGCCTGTTTTTTTGTCTAATATGAAAACAAAGGTGTTTTAAATTGTATGTGATTCTTCACTTATGACACTTAAGACATCAGTGTCTTGTGTGTGTGTGTGTGTGTGTGTGTGTGTGTGTGTGTCCATTATGCAGTATCATCAAATGACTCAGGCCCAGGATTGTATTAAGAGGTTCACTTTAAATGGTGGGTGGAGGTCAGAAAGAGTTAAGGTCCCTGCTCCAATCCCAGAGCTGAACCTTGTGGTAAGATCCCACAAGAGTAAATGTCAAAATTATTAATCACTTATGGAGAACCAGTTAATTCTCTCCATAAATGAGTTCAGTGGGAGCACAAACACTGCAGCTAGAACACTGGGGAGTCAAGGAAAAGAGGGTATGAATTGCAGGAGGTGTGGGGATGCAGGAGGCAGAAATAGAGAAGAGATTATCTGTAGCATTCCTAAGAATTTGAGCTGACAAATGGACAGTTTTCCAGATGTAACCAATTTATAATTTGTATTCTTTTCTTTTTTTCTGGAACTGAGGACTGAACATAGGGCTTTGTGCTTGGTGAACCAGTGCTCTACCACTGAGCTAAATCCCCATTCCCTATACTCTGTTTTGTAATGCATGTCTTTAGTCTTTTCCACCCAGTTGACTACACCTCACTCTTTCTCCTGCAGCTGTCGGCTTTGTGAGTGAAGATGAGTACCTGGAAATTCAGGGCATCACTCGAGAGCAGTCAGGGGACTACGAGTGCAGTGCTTCCAATGATGTGGCTGCACCAGTGGTACGGAGAGTGAAGGTCACCGTGAACTGTGAGTGGCCCTGCCAGCCCCACCCCGTGAGAGTGTGAGGATGCCCTCTTATCAAGACTGTAGCACAAAGCCAGCCTTCAGCGTGACAGAAAAGACCCAGCATCACTTTCTGTCCACTGCTCTCAAGAGTTAAGGGGCCAAAGTCATGTTTTATTTTCTATTTTTCACAGGCCCAGTGTTACCCTTCTCTTTAAAAGCAGCTGACGGTAACTGCATATGGCACCAAACTTTCATACCTGGCTTGCAAATCAATAAATGCCATTGAATGCATGCTCCATATAAATATATTTCAAAATCCAAAGTTTTCTTGTAATGTATTCACATGCAATGTGACAATCTTCCCAGGGAGATACTTCCAGTGGGAGAAAAGCCTGAGCTGGAACAAAAACTACCCCTGTGTGTGCAGCATTTTTGTGTCTCTTTGTATATCATCCTTTTGTAATGAAGATGTTGATGGATATAGACTTCTGATTACATACATAATTTAAACATTAGTATATACAAATGCAGGTTTGAGTGGGTACATCTCAAATTTTATTTTAAACTAATAGATGCAATTCAAAACATTTGAAAGCTAGTGCTGTGAAAACTTCATTCTCCCTTTATCAACCTTCTGAATTCTCCTTGACATTGATCTACATGAATTTTCTACCAATTCCTTACCAGTTTTCCCATGGGTTCCTTGTTATGTGCATTGACTTGGCTCTGTATGAATCATGGAAGGCTTCTGCTTGTCACAGAATATAACCCAAGGCCTAGACCAGCAGCACAGAAGCCTCACCCCTTCTACAGGGGCAGGATGGGGGAAGGGAAGGAAACAGTATTGGATTAATACTCATTGTTTCTTGTTATGATTTGTGTTCCAGTTAGAACCTAGATAGCATGAAACACTTTAAGTAGTAAAGGTAAAACAATGCTGCCATGTTTTCCTATTATTTAAACTCTACTTTTCAGGGAACTTAAGGTTACTGACAATTGTTGATAATGAACTTAAGACATAAAACCAAAGTGGAAGCAAAGGGAAAATCTATTATGGAAGTTAGTAAGAGGGAGGAGTCAACCCATGAAATATGAAATATAAAGCAGTAGGCTGCTGGGTTCACAGTGAGAATTTGCCTTAACAATGCTAACACAAAGGAAACATCATGCACTCTAAGATATACATCAGCTGCAAGACAAAAGAACATTATTTTCTTTGAAGAAATCGTGCTTTTCCTGGTAATGTGACCCCAGAGAAAACCCTCCCCACTGTCGGAAACAGTCAGCACATCATGTACAATGCCCTGGCATTGAACAGAACAGGAATTTAGAGAGGCTGTTGTACAATACCCATCATTACACACTGCTTGCATGCCACAGGTAGCTGAGTGAAGACGATGAATGCAGACCCAGCAAGGAGGTCTAGTTGAGCACAGGATCCATTTTAGAATGCCCATGGGAAGGACTGGTCCATACACCCTTCAGGCAATTCTCCATGAATATTATTAGTTATAAGTGAGTCTTGGATGGGAATTGAATAGCTGAAAGTCCTACACTTTGGCAAGACCTAGCGTACAGAAATTCTATGAGCATGATTAAAGGTGCTGACTGCTATCCCGTGGAGTGGAAGGCTGATGGGTGGGTGTCAGCCTATGAAAGTTAAAAGGCTTAAACAAGCACTGTGTCTCAAGAGCTCACAGCTCCACCTCATCACAGAGAAGAGAGGCAATGCATGCTGAAAGACAATGTCTTCCTTTAGAATATCATCCTGAATATTCCCATTCTCTGGAACAGTCCATACAGCAGTTTGATTTCTGCAGATAAGCAGAAATAGGGCAGAGAGTAAGAAACAAAATGCATGAATGAGGCAGTTTGTTTTGGTTGTTCTGGTTGTTGTTGTTTTTTTTTTTTTCATTTTCAAAAGTACTCTTATATGGCATGGACCATCTTCCTTCTGCAGATCCACCATACATCTCAGAAGCTAAGGGTACAGGTGTCCCCGTGGGGCAGAAGGGGACTCTACAGTGTGAAGCCTCAGCAGTCCCTTCAGCAGAATTCCAGTGGTTCAAGGATGACAAGAGGTAAGGTGCTCAGTCCTCCTCTCCTCATTAACCTCCCTTCCACACTCCTGAGTGCAGATAGTCACAATCTAATCTCTGGGAATCCTCTCCTGACACCCAATGGGAGTTCAATGTGCAAATAAGCCTTTTTAATTTAAGGGAAGTTCAGCAAGGCTTTCAATGTCATCTTCAGTGTTATCACTTGCCAACCAGCAGACCTGAAAGGTAATATAATTTAGCCAAGGAAAAAATCAGAAAACAAAAGCCACCAACATTATTGTGAGCCCCGTGATTTTTTTTTATGCCATGAAAATAATGCATTCCGTGGAAAGCTATTTTTGACATTTTCTCAGACCTAAGCAATTCTATCTGCCTCTGGGAGGGGCTGTCAAGTTGCCTGCCCATCATAGGGCTCCACTTCCCTCCCCAAGGTTATCAGTACCACTGTGTTTGAGTCCATGACCCTCTTGCACCCTCCCTCTGTGTGCAGGTTGTCATTTCTCTGTAGGAGAAAAGAGTAGGACTGTTCCCTTCCTTCCCATTGTTGCAGCCGTCCTAGGGACATTTGTTGTGAGTCAGTGAAGATGATCATTTCAAGGAGTTATCAAATTGCACATCAGCGCAGGGGTCAGTGGCTCAGTACAGCCAGGCAATATGACAATTACCATTATCAAAGAGCTATTTGAAGGTGGATGAGCAACAACTAAATGTGTAAGCTCTTCCTGTGTTCAGAATATTTTCATAAAAGCAGAGGCAGTGATGCTGTAGGTGTGACAAAGTCCCCTGAGATCTGTGGAGAGATGAGCAAAGAATGAAGGAGGCTGAGTTTGCAAAGCCATAGAAAGAGTCTGAGAAGAGCAGTGGGGACATCCCAGCAAACACTGTCCTACTGCACAAGGGGTGTTCACTACTTTCTTTCTTCATGAAGTCACCCAGGCATTAAGCATCTTCTAGTTCCTCAGCCAGTAAACTAAATTGTATTGAGGACCCAGTCACTCCATCATAATATCCACGTCCAGTGAGGGACACTGCTTGGGATTTCTAGGGCATGTACTGGTAGCCTCTAGTAAGGTGCGGTATTGCCAGCCGCCATTTTATAAATGAAGACCCGAGACAGAAAGAGGTGACCAAACTCACTGAAATGAGAAATGGAGCTGGCTGTTTTCCTTCATTCTAGAAATCAGAGATCTTTCATTCCCACCGCCCTTCTTACTGTAATGAAGAAAACCTGAGGCTTACAGTTCCAAGATCTAAAGATATCCCCACCCCAGGCTATACATACAATACATATCTGTATTAGTCTCTATTTCTGAACACGGCCTAAGTCTTAGTGAAAATCAATCCACTCTACTCTAGTATTCAAATTCTTGATGGAAAAAAAAAACAGAAAGAAACATAACAGAAAAATGAGATCTCCAAGTGTGTGATGAAAGCATGACAAAAATGTGTTTCGAGGCACAGGAAGGGAGAACTGCAGCACCAGTCCAAGCAGGGGCTGCCATCTTTGTCAGCATCTATTCTGAAGAGAAAGGGAGACGGTGCCCTAGTGCCGGCTCAGAAGCCCTGGTGCAGGCAGCTCTGTGGTCTCCTTAAGCTACGTTCACAACTTCCCATTGATTTTTCTGTGTCCATTTATGCATTTGCTTATGTATTCATTTCCAGTATTCTCCCATTGAGTAGGTTTCTCTGTCCTCCCAGCAACCAGCATGCCAAGAATGTTTCTACCATGGGGTCCTTGCCACAGCTTTTCTTCTTTGTACCACTGAGGCTACAAGGTAGCCGTGGCCTCAGGTCTCAGAGGGAATATGACATCTGTCCCAGTAAATGACAACTGAAGCCCATTTCATTTTCACTGACATGAGCAGAATTGAGCAGCAAATAGAAGTGTCTTAAGTGGGAACAGGCAGTTTTTCAGATGTCTTGGGGGGCTTCACTTGACTTCTGCTTTCACTGCCTTGTCCTATGTCTGCTGTCAGTCAAAGGAAGAAGAGATGGAATTCTACTCTTAGAAAAGCCTGCCCACCTAACAGGGACAGTAGTCACTGAGAGGACTACAGTTTCATGAAAAAACCTGTAGCTACTGTCTGTAGCAGTAGGGCATGGGAGATCCCTGAGTGCCCGAGGGGGAGGATGTTTGTCATCCCAGGAGAGTAAAGTGCTGCAAAGCTCTGCTGGCCACCCTGCACTGTGTTTAGTTAAAGACATTTCTGAGCTGTCAAGCAAGAACCTGCTTTGAGTAACCCTCTTCACACTATGGAGCCGGAATCCAATTCATAGCTTGGTTCTGATGTGAAGACTTCTTCCCTTATGGAGAACACTGCCAAAAACTAGGAAATAGGATCCATACCCATACTAGCTACAGAAGCATCCTCATGGTGGCTTGCAGAGCCTTGGACAGCACCCTTTACAAGATTCCCATCTATATAACAAGTTGGAGATAGAACAGTAGCATCTGTTCCCAGAGCAGGGTGTTTCGTGCCATCCCACAGAGCCAGAGGGCATTTCAGTGAGGGCAGTGGCTTACACCAGTTCACTGTCCTTTTGAGAAAGGAAGACACACACAGGAAAATCTCTGTAGAGATTTGTGCAGAAAGCTACCATAGCCAGGAACACTATTCCAGACTGACCTCTGAGGTAACTCTGGGCAGTTTTTCTCTTCCCAAGTCCCATGGAAACGTGTAATTCCATTAAGTGGATGAATCATTGTCATGGTGATACTATGTTGGGGAGGATGAGGGTATCATTAATTCTAGACTCTAAGTTTACCCTATGAGAAAAATTGACCTGTTTTTTCCCCTTTATTTCCCCCTTCTTTTTCTGTTGCTTGTTTGCCTAGACTGGTTGAAGGAAAGAAGGGAGTCAAAGTGGAAAACAGACCTTTCCTCTCAAAGCTTATCTTTTTCAACGTCTCTGAACACGACTACGGGAACTACACGTGTGTGGCTTCCAACAAGTTGGGCCATACCAATGCCAGCATCATGTTATTTGGTGAGACTCTGCCCTGAGATGGGTAACAAGGCAATGCTAAGTGGGGAAGGGTTGGTGGAGGGAAAGAGAGAATGGAGGAAAAGAAAAGGCTCAGAAGTGAGCCAAGTAGAGCAAATGAAAGAATAAGAAAGGAGAGAGAGAGAGAGACAGAGAGACAGAGACAGAGACTGAGACAGAGAGAGATTCATGCATGTAAGAATGTAGGCTTCAGAAGTGGGAAAGAAAAAATGGAATGTTCATTTATCTAAAATGACCAAAGTCCTGAAACAGGAGGAAAAGATGCCAAAAATGACTTTTTCCCCTTCAGGGATGTCTTTGAAACTGACTCAGAGATTATAATTGGACAAAATAGTTAAAATCAGAGAGGAGCCCTTATAGCTTCAGTCCTTTGCTCACTGGGCTAAATAACATGTTCCCTTTTCTGAAAGTTTCCCAGCCATTGGCACATAAGAAAATCTGAATGACATTCATAAGAGCTGAATCACAGCCCTTGGAATCCTTAATAATATTCATTTCAAAGATGGGAAGATAAAGAATAGGGAAAATGGGATTTTCCAAGTTCTCTATTTGTGTCAATGGCTAGCAAAGACATTTGCCCATCCTCACCATCATCTTGAAATATCTCATATTGTTCATTGTTCATGCACCAATTCCTTAACTCATTACTGAGGGACTAAGTTTATAAAGCATTTTTTTTCTGCCATCATTTCATATGTAGCCACTGTATTCATGGCAGAAGCAGTAAGCAACCTTCTTGGAAAACACTCTATGTCTACACCCTGTGAGCAATATCTACCCAGGAGTGAGCATGCCTGCCTAGCTACCAACAGGAACAACTTCAGATGTCTGCTAATGGCTTTAAAGCCTTAATGGGTTCAGATACTTCCGATGGGCCATGTGATTAATTCTAGTTGCCTTTAGAGCACATTTCTCCATACCCTACCAAGTTCAATGACTGTCAAATTTTCCAATCTGTTTCTCCCATTCTCTGTGTTAAAGATACACGGGAATGTGATACCATCTCCACTTCCCAGTCACACCTTCCCAGCCTCCTACTCAGCATTTGAAATGCACTCCAGCCTTAGCTGAGGGGGCTGGAAAAGGGAAGGCCATATTTGATCCCAGAACACAGAGCTGAGAAGGGGCAAGATGTGACTAGAGTGACTGAAATGCTTAGGACCTCGATATGCACAGTCATCACATTTGCCCATGTACCAGGATGGCCATGTGCCTCTCTTGTGCATGGATAGGATCACAAGTCCCCTTTGTGCATGAGAATAGTTATAAAAATTCTCCCATATACATGGAGTCATAAGTGCTCCTATAATCTCTCAGGCCTTTGGGAGTTGATGGGAGGCACCTGTCTGTATGCACAAAGGATAGGATTAGAAAGGGGGCAGGTCTATTGTCCTTTCCTTTAAAAATCTAAAGCATATAAGCAGTGTTCCCCTCAGCACCTCCCACATCCTGCTCTCTGGCCACAGCCATACCCATTCTTTCAAATAATCTTCCCCCTCCTTAAAACTCCTCTCTGTTCTAAGATGGAGAGAGAAATGGCTTTGCCGTTGGGTTTTGTTTTTTGTTTGTTTTTTTTTTTTTTTTTCCAGCAGACCCACATATGACAATCACGGCATTGTTTTTCCTCCATTCCCACCACCAATAAGAGATCATCCACCCTCTACCTCCTTTGGGATATTTTTGTCATTTTCAGCTTTCTAGAGTCTAGGGTTTGCTAAATATCCATTATGAACTAATAGCACCTTTGCAAATAAGTGGAGGAGGCCTGGGTCAACCGCAGATAAATGGAGCACAGGTGGAGATGCTCCTTAATGGAGGAGGTCTCAGAGCTGTAACCTACAAATTCTCTATGAAGGAGAGGCAAACTTGCAAACTCTTTCATATTTAGTGAATTACAAATCAATTTCATTTGTTAGTTTCATTTGCAATACTATTTCTGAGGAGCCCATCACAGAAGATCTCCATGGGTACCATTCTTCCATGGAGCTGGTGAAATCCCAATAATGTTTAAGTTGAGCATTTTCAACCCCTCCATCTCCAGCCAGGTGTAGTGGAGACATTATTGTGGCTCCCAAGTTCACAGGGAATGCTCTAAGTCATTTTCAGTAGGAGCCAACAAGCAGACCAGGCAGACTGGACAGCAGCACTTACTTTCATGAATATAGAGCATCCATGATTAAATTTTCTCCAGTGCCATTGCAGAAAGCCAGCTAAATTATTGTCATTTTGTCATCAACTTGCACAGAAATCATAAAAGTGTATCCTTTTCATGTCAAACTGAATAATGAGGGATTCTGGTGTAAGAAACTCCTAGTAAGCTTGTATCTTGGGAGATGTAAGTCTTACAGGAGTAGGATAGACCTTGCCATTAACAACCAATAAGGCTCTGAGTGTCTAGACTCTGGGACCATAGAGCCAGTCCTAGAATTCTGAGACTATTGTTTCCATATTCCTGAACCATAGTAGTTCCAGGGGGCCCTAATGAAATTCAGATTATGGTACCATGAGAACAGAAATTGCTGGATTTCATCTTTATCTGTAAGATAATGGGGTGAAGATGTGATGGTAAAAATTTCCCCCAGTAAGGAGCTTTATTCCTTTGTTTACAGTTAGCTCCCAAGGTCAGCAGAAGCAAAGAAAGAATCCATCTGCACTGGAAAATACCTTGCTTCCCACAATCCCATCCCTATTAAGGGACAGAAAGCATTTCAATGTTTGTCTTGCTGCACCTTGTCCTATGGCCTTTGGTTTGTGTCTTCCTTTATTTATCCTTTCCGCTAGAAATGCTTGTGAAAGGCAGTATACAAACTATATATGAAAAATATATAGCGACTGTATATAATATATGTGTTTGTTTTCATTTTTCTCTCCTGTATGTCCCCCACCCGATTTAGAACTAAATGAGCCTACAAGCTCAACTTTATTGCAAGGTCAGTATCCCCCTTGCCTTGTGTTTTCTTCCCTTCGCCTTGGTCCCAAAGCCCTCACCCTGGCCCTCTTCCTCACCCTATCCCTGGTGTTGATTTCCTGATATTCCTAGCAGTAACATCGTCATTGCTAGGAATGTGGTAGAATCCTGGGGGCTTGGAAAATGCCACAGGAGCCTTTTCTTCTGCCCATCTTTCACACACACTATCTATCTAGGAGAGCTGAGATTAGTAAGGCCAATAAAGCATCATTAAAATGCCAAACCCAGAGATCAGCATGAGGGCTAAGGTTTCAGAAACTAAATGTGAACCAAAAAGAAGACAGTACAACCACTGACCACAGTGATACCCCAGTACAAAGGTATCTGAGTTTGCACATGAAGAGTTCTGTTTATGGTAATCAACAACAAACTCAGATGATTCTTATGGTGATTCCAACAGTCCAAGAAACGTCACCATTACCTAATCCACAGGTTTTCCAAGAAAGGCCTGGTGGCACAAATAGTGACCCAGGATGGGACACCAAAGAGCTGTAGCTCACAGTTGACCTTTAGGAGGCCCCAGTTCTTAGATGAGTCTAATAACCTCACTTGGATTTCCTTCCATCTTCTATGAAGAGTAATCTGCCTTTCGTAGTTGTCCTAGCTTCTGGCATTTAAAAGACTCCAAAGCACACTATCACATTTTGAGTCTCCATATACATATAAAAGACAGGGACTCCCTCCATACAGGACACATTCCACAGATTCATTTCTTTTCAGTTTCTTCTCCCCCTCCACTCTCATCTCTTGCCTATTCATGACTTGTGTAGCTCTTACCACTCTATGGATACTTGGTGTGTCTTCCCATTTCTTCCGGGGCCACTCAAGTAGTGTGAGTGATATATTGCAAGGTTGTCACTGTCCTCTTCTAGAGGACAGTGGTTTTGTTTGCTTTTCTATGCTTTGTTTTTTGGTGTGTGTCATGCTGGATATTAAACTCACAGCCACTCACATACTAGGCAATGGTTTACTGCTGAGCCTTTAATGACTATTTTGACTCCTGTGTTAACTCAGTGAGAACTCCCTATTCCCAACACAGTCTTGTGACCTCCCTCATCCCACCCCTCCCCTGCATACATCCTGTTCATCCATTTACATTCTAACTGTTTGAACACTCACAGAAGACAGCATTAGATGTGGGAGGTGGAGGGAAAGATAGAAAGAAATGAATATCAGGGAAGCTATGTGACAAGTGAAGAAAAATACTCTTATCATAAAAAGAGTCAGGGCTACATTATCTCCACCGTGCTGATGAGTCAGAACAGGAAAGTGAAACAAAGAACAGGTAAGAAAAAGGGGAAGTCCAGGGATGTATTCAGACTCAACTTGGGACGAAACTTCTGCCTTTGAACTCCCAAAGAGGCACCTTTCAGATTCAAAGTAAAGAACATCAGAAAAGCACTAATGTCCTTGGTAGAAAGGACAGATGCTGCCATGATGTTGTCAGCAGGTATTTCACTAATACTGACCAGTAGTCTACTGGACTCGAATGTAAAGCTAGGCCAGCTTTACAAGAAGCAGACCTTAGTCTCCTTATGTCCACTTATTTATCTGCATATGTTTCCCCCTTCCCATGACTGCTCTCCTATAGAATATATGACATAGCTGTTTTCTTCAGGAATACCTCCAAGGGATGCTCTTTGGGCATACAGAAAAACTTAGAGGAACGTCTGGGTTTCCACAACAGGAAACCCTTGGCCTTTAGAGAAACTCGAGGCTGCCTTGCTGCCTAATATCTAAATGGACAAGAAATGATAAGAGAATTTTGTTCCTCCTCAGCATTTTTGTCACCCTTGACATATTTCTCTGCCTCCCTTTTGCAAACACAACAGATTGCATGTCACTTTCCAGTATTAATATTTGGTGGTACAGGACTCTCAAAGTGATAAATAAGAACTTTGGGCTGTGCCATCATCCCTCACAGAGCTTCTGCATGGGTAAGAGCACAAGGCCCATGCTGCAGGCTCAGCAGCTCCCCAGCTTCTCTCCCCTCAACTATTGGTCCTCTATCTTCAATCTGCACAGATCTGATGAAATCAGTGGGCTCAGATTGTTGGCTTATTAATTCCCGTGAGCCTCCCAGTATTAAAGAATGGACAACAAAAGCAGATATCTCCTCCTAGATTTCAGAAAGAGATGATCAGTTCTTCCTGCAGAAAATTCAACATAGTTAGCTAGGCCAACCTACCAAGGAATCATGCAGTCAGCATTTCTATGGCATGTATATGAAAAAAAATCTGTTATCTTTTTTCTAGAAGAGTGGGTTGAACAACCATATTCACCCAGAAGCAAATTTCTCCCTGTGAGATTTAGAGGCCAGCCCTGAACTTACCTAAGCACTTTGATTCAGCAAATAACTGAGCATTTATTTGCTTTGCTGACATAATGATCATTTCTGGAATGAACAGAAATATACAATATTATCTGACATAGGGGATTCTTTTCCTTTTTATGTATTTTCCCTTCCTTCCTCCCTGCCCCTCTCTTCCTCCTTCCCTTCTGTTGTTCTTTCTTGCCTCTTCCCATCAGCTTTCCTTTTTTTCTTTTTATCACACCACTATGGTTCTATCTGACTTTGTGCTAATATATCATTAGCAAAGGGATCGGATAATTTTTAATTAAGTTCCTATTGAAGAAAAATACTTGGATTGCTAAGAATTGCTTATTTTTAAATTTTTAGTGCTTGTGTGTGTGTGTGTGTGTGTGTGTGTGTGTGTGTGTGTTTTGCCTGATTGCATGACTTTGTAACCTGTGCATGCCTTGTAATATAAGGTGTTAGATCCCCTGGAAATAGAGTTATAGGTTGTTATGAACTGCCATGTAGTACTGGGAATTGAATCTGGGAACTCTGTAAGAACAGCCAGGGCTCTCAACCACTGAACTATCTCTCCATCCCCCATTTCCCCCCCCCCCCCCATTTTTTTTTTTTTTATGGCTTTCCTGGAACTCACTAGGTACATCAGGCTGGTCTCAAACTCACAGAGATCTGCCTGTCTCTGCCTCCCAAGTGTTGGGATTTAAGAGGAATGTAATCATGCCCAGCTGTGTTTCTTTTCTTGATAGTTAAGATGTCACTCAAAGTCTATATCTTAGGGCTGTCACTGGCTTAAGAGGTTCTTACAAAGTTCACAGGATGACAGAATGTTACCATGACAGAGAGGATGATGTCAAACCTCCTGTACTTCTTCTTGATGCTAGAGCAAAAGTGGCTTACAGTCCATAGAAGGAAGAGCAGGCCTGCTTTCCCCTGTGCTGCATTAAGCAAGGGTTGGCTAAAACACTGTGACCTAGAAAAGACCTAAAAAGAATGAGTTCTAGATAAGGTCAAGACAAGTGGCCAATTGCCCTTTACCTTGTGGATGCTAAAGAATTGAGTTTCTTTCAAATAGCTACAATAGGAATCCAGGGCTGAGGGCGCTGAATGGGAACAATTATGTGTAAATTGTTTCTGGATTTCCTGTGGGTTCCTGTAACAGGAATGTGTGCCTTTAGTTTATACCTCTTCCTCAAAGCCCCAGGTCTACATAGAAACTACATCTGTCTTCCTGCAGCCCTATTTGAGCCAGTACCCACAATACTCTGTGGGTAACAGCCTACAGGACACCTTATATTTTTACTGCTTGTGGTCTACGGGCAAAGTCTGCATGGTTTCTTTATCACCCAACATCTCTCCAGGATGTCCTTCCTTCCATTCACCTTCCTTCTTGACACTGACACCAGTAAATCAGCAGCCCCTCAGCTTCTGGACTGTTCCAAGGGCCAAGGATATATTCCAAAAGACTGTCCATGCTGTGCATAAGACATATGGAGCCAACACATCTGGCTTCCCCCTCCCATCTAAACTTCACTTAGGGCATCCCTTCAATGACCAAACATTGGTCACTTCTCACATCTTTATTAAGGTTGGTAATATTTACTTAGTTCAGGAGGTTTCGTAGGCCTGGTGTCATTAAGGTATAACTAAGAGTCTGAAGCACAAAATGCATTTGCCTTACTACAAACACTGTAGTTGGAGTTAGGATGCACTGTATCAAAGGCTGCTATCTCTCTGAATGTGAGGACCTCTGCACAAAGAACAGACTCCTTGTACAACACTTTAGGACCCGAAGCCCAAAGCTTTGATGATGCTTCATGTGCTCCCTGTATGCAGATGAACAACTGCACAGGCCCATGGCTAGAAAGGAAAGTAAAAGGTGAATGGTTATCACAAATCAAGCCATCAAAGCCCTTGGCAGCCACAGAAAAACTGAAAAGGCTCTGTATAATCTTCTGAGAGCTTACAGTCAGGAAAATGGGAGCTCTTACACCATCTAGTCAACAGAGCAGTCTCTGTCTTTATGTATTTACAGGGGCTTCTGGAAAGTTCCACTCTTGCAACACAGGTACAGCTATCAATGTCTCTCATGGCCCCAGAGAGAGTGTCATCGGGCCAGCTTGTAGTCAGATATTAAAGGTCAAGATTCTCCTGCCATCTAAGAGCTAACTCATCAGTGTTTCTAAAAGACAAGGCCTAACTAAAATCAAGTCAGACTTTTACCTTATATAATTAGCATGGTTACCCAGACTCAAATTGCTATAGTATATATCCTACTGTATCTGCCAACTTTATACTTAACACCACAGAATTCAGTGAATTGGGGGACAGTTTGATGAGAGCATGGACATTTCTATGAAGATGTTTTGCCTCAGTGGCTGAAATTCCAAAGGACTGGATGTCTTCTAAGATCAAGTGTATATATGCAGGCTCTGTGTCAGGCTGTGACTCACAGCAATTGCCATCCATATTCTTCCTTGCCTCCAGTCCACTTCTAGCTAAAATAATAATATCAATAGTAATAATAAATAAATACTGAATGGCTATGGGTGATGGACAGTGGCCAGCATAACTAGAGGCAAGTCTAAGGGGCCTGGGCAATCTCCTGGGCCAATAACTCTGGCTTGTTTCTAAGACCATCTGAGGGCAAAGTAAGCACTTGAAGATGCTTTCTGCCTTAACAGTAGCTTATTTTTAATTTCTTTTTAGAAGTGAAAACTACAGCCATGACCCCTTGGAAAGGTTTGTATATTTACTTCTCAGGCAGCTGATGCCTTAGTGGGAACGGATATGCAGTTTTCTTCACCTCTTCCTAGATGCCTTCTTCTTTAAGCTCACCCTTAAGCATTCTAGAGGGACCTCTCCCTGACTCTTGAGTGATTTGCCATCAACCTAGATTAACTCCATTCCCAATGACATCACATCCTGTATGAGTTGCTCCACTTGCACGAGTTTAACTGGTCCTTATGGTGGCACTAATGAACACCTGCCTGTATTCAGAAGAGCTGGGTTTTGGGACCCTGGAACTGGGCTTGCCTTATTACCTCCATGAAGCTCTCTCTAATGCAACAATCTTCTCAAGCCATAGCTTTGCATGCTGCCTTTTCTTAGCCCTTGCTCTCCTTCTCTAACTTGGAGCTAGAAGGAAAGTGGGGAGAGGGAGGGGGACTTGGGAGGAAAAGGGAGGTTCTTGGGTGATTCACTGGGACAGGAATAAAATGTGTCTTATTTGAGGCTTTCATGGCAGCCAGATGTTTCCGATGGATAATTGACACTCATTCCAGCTCTGTGAGACCCTAACTGTCCTGGTAATTAGTCTCTTTAGACCTCCGCTGCTCTCTAATGAGATAGTGGCAATAAAGGCATCCAATGTGGAATGGAGGCGTGGCTGGGTGAAGAACAGATGCCTTATCTGAGTGACTGTGTCACCAAACAGATGGGATAAGCTGTCACTTCCCTAGCATCTATAGGGAAAAAGCCTTGCTCTTAGAAGGCTTTGACCTATGCCTCCCTGGACCAAAGATCTTCACCCCATGGCACTCTTTTCTCTGGTATCTGCTCAGTATTTTCTCAGGGTGGGGCAGACCAGCCTTCAGCAGTGCCCAGATGGGTTAGCCATTGACCTCACCCTTCTGGGAAGATACATGATCTGAGCTGGTGGGAAGCAAATTGCATATGGAAACTGCAGCCAAGGGACCGGAGGGGTCTCCTAAGCTCCCAAAAGAAAAGTTTCCACAAATTCCAAAAGAAATTGTAATCCTCAGCCCAGTCCCCAGACACTGTAATAGCACCACATCACTCTTGAATCCCTGGTTCATGAGGCTTTGCTTCCAGGTAGAGTCGCTCAGTACTGGGACCTTTGGTGACTTTGTTGGACAGAGTTAGAAAAGGGGAGAAAGAATTTCTGTAAGAGAAATTGAGATAAAGCAGAAGACACAGAGGTGAAAATATTTTTGTGTCTTATATGGTTTGCTTTTTAAAAACAAGTATAATTATAAGAAAAAAGAGGAACAGAAGCACAAGGCAAACAGAGACATGTCAGCATCAGTCAGGGCTCTCTCCCTTAGTCAGTTAAAAATGAATACCTGCCATGGTCAGTGAGACACATACCCTGCCATTAGGAAGTCAAAGGAAGCCAGATGTGGTGCTATACACCTATGACCCCAGAACTCGGGATCCTGAGGCAGGAAGATTAAGATTTCTCATTCATCCTGAGCTAGATAGGGAGTTCCTGTCTAAAACAAACCACAAGCAGGGAGGAGGGAAGAACCAGTTTTAGTTGGTAATAGCACTTAGCGGAAACTGTGTGTCAGACAAATAAGAGAATTAGAATATTAGAATTCTGGGGCACATTTAATAGCAGAATGGATATGTTACTGAGAGAATCCAGGAATCCTACCTGTAGGAAACCGCCTTGAAGCTGGAATAATGAATAGGAGTGAGTTAAAAAAAAAAAAGAATGTTTCAGACAAATGGGTAGAGGATATGAGCATTGGAAAGAAAAAGAATATGGCTTGGGAGTACCAGCCAGCCAGTGGGTCTGTGTGTGTGTGTGTGTGTGTGTGTGTGTGTGTGTGTTTGTCTGTGTATATGTCTTTTTCTGCCTGTGTGTCTCTGTGTGTGTCTGCCTCTGTGTCTGTCTGTCTGTCTGTATGTTTGTGTGTCTGTGTGAATGTGTGCCTCCATGCACTGGATCAAGAATATTTAAGAAAACATGGCAGGAAGACAGCCTATGTGGGCAGATAGCTGGCAGATAATACAATGTGATGGTGAACATTCTACCAGATGTTTTGGTTAAGGCTGTAGCATTCAGCTGGAACAAATTGGAGGTGTGGGGACATTGCTCTGAAGTTAATGTAAGGGATAAATGTGAGAGGTCCCAGCAGCTGGTGGCAGTGGTAGCTGGTGAACTGTGACTTGGAAGGTGAGTCACTGCAGGTATGTCTTCCAGCAGGCATGGACAGACATCTTACCTTGGGCTGTCTGTCTGCTTCTCCTTCATTCTGAGTCAGGTTTTCCCATAGGTGCTAAAGAGACAGACAGGGTGTGGAGGAGAAAGAGTGTGTGTGCATAGCGTGGAGGTGGTGGGCAGTCAGGACAAGGTTACTCAGGCCTGAATAAGAACAGCAGGAAAGCCCAGTGAATCTCACCAAGACTACCCTTCCTCCAAGCAAGGTGATGTGTTCACAGGCACTCTTTGGCTTTGTAGAGTTTATTGGCCTAAGAGCCGTCCCTGTAGACTTCCTGTACTGTTTCCCAGCATACAATTCAACCACAGTGGAACTCCGAGGTGTGTACTAATGTAACTGAACAAAAGCCTCAGTGAGAGCCTCCAACAAAGCTACCTGGCCACTGTACAGAGGATCTAGGCTGGACACAAGGTGTTCAGCCTTACATGGACTATTCTTATTTGGGAACCAGGCAAGGCTTCTGTTGTATGCTTGTTGCATTGTGGCTTCTGCCCTTCAGTTAAGTATGAAAGAGGGAGATGAAGGAGAAAAGGATTGTCCAAGTGTTCTCAAGGGGCTGGCATTTGTTCTCCATCTCTTTTGCCCCTAGCTATCTTCCTGACCATGGCAGGCTGTTGGGCAGGAATGGGCTTTAAAGCCGAACACCTGGGTATTGAGAAAGAGGGGGGCATGTGCTACAGTCTGTGGTCTGATAGATTCTCACAGATTAAGTACACAGGACTTGTTTTAAATTGCACTGGGCAAGGCACATGTAGAAATATGGAATGGACCACTCACTTTACCAGGGATGAAATGGAACCCGGCTTTCAAGGTCTGTATATAAGATCTCACAGCCACAGGCACAAACAAGGGGCAAAGTAGAAAGAACAGAGCAGTTCAGAGAGAAAAGACTCCCTAAAAGTATAAGATGTAATGCCTTTCCTTGGGGAGTCAAGGAGCGACATCACTCTGTGAGAACAAGGAAAGCATGTGAAGACAACAATGTGTGGATCTAGAGAGGGAGTTCTTAGTGCCCCCTTGGAAGGAAAGCTGGCAGCAAGATTGTAGAATGTGTGAACACTTTGTCTCTATATGACAAACAATTGAAAGGTAAGTCCTCAGTAAATTCCTGATCATGCTTCGTCATCACCTGTGTCCCCAAGAATGTTTTCTACTTTGTGTTTCCTGGATCACTTCTCCTGGCAGGCACAGAGCAGAGCAGGGTTCTCTGTGCTTTTCAGCACGATGACTCAACGTTACCAGGAATCTCCCAGTGTGTGACTCTTGTGACCCAGGCCCACATGAAGTTGGCAGCTGCTGACGTCAAAGGACCGAGACATGCAATCATATGGGCAGTAGCTAGGTCAGAAATTCTAGGACTTGACAGAATAATCCCATGTGCAATCAGGAAATCTAGTTGAATCTGGCATGATTTAACCAGAAGTGACTCCAGTGCTGAGCTCCCGAGTCAGATGATCAGGTTCTGGCACTGTTCGGGTGAGGATGGGGACTAAATAGCTCTGAGAAATTCAATGTACCAGAGCAGATCAGAGCAGCTCCAATCAGAGGGGACATGTCCCTGTTCATTAAATGTCTAAAGCATCTGGTTTCTGACAGTATGTACTATTCCATAATCATTGTTTCCTTTTTTCATGCAAACCCTTGGACCCAAGAGCTAAAGTAGCCGGGAAGTTTATATGTAACAACAGGGAAGCTACTGGGGAGTTTCACCACCTTGGAGTTAGTTCTCTTGCCTCTTGTGTTTGGCAAAGAGTATCTATTTGTAAACCAGGTGAATAAGTGCCTCTTAACAAAGCTTGCCTCTCAATAGTCATTCAATGAAGAAGGTGCTGCACACCAATTTCCATGTCAATCCCTAGGTACATTCTTGTCCACACAGCACATGGTCTTGTTCCTGACTTAGTCTTCTCTCTACCCTGTGTGAGATGGTTTGGGCTTATCAGACACTTGAGCTTAAGTCTGATGATACCTCATCCAGATGACAAAGAAGCCAAGGACTCCAGGGGGAATCCCAGCACCACCCTGAGACTGAGAGAGTCATTTTGTTCAGTGGAACAGCAGCAGGGAGACAGACGTCAGGCAGGGCCCACCAAGTCCTTTCCTGAACAGGCTGTGAAGCCTGAAGGCTCTGGAAATGTCTGCGGCAGTCAGACCTCAGAAGGTGACGGGTAATGAGGCAAGTAGCCAGGCGATCAAGGATTTGACATTATTGAAGCATGTTATTGCCATGGGCAAATGACAATTCTGCAGCATCTTGTCGGTTTGCCAGGGAAGGCTTGTGTTTACACACTGAGTATCCATTTGACTGTCTTACAATGTTCTGTTGTTAGAACACTAGTTGTTCATCCTAAAGAGAAGCCTCAGTGGAAGTGGCAGCAGACCAAGTGACAGGTGATAAGTTCTCCCATCTTGCTGCAAGTAGCTCATAACATGTGTGTTCTCTCCACAGGCCCAGGTGCTGTCAGTGAAGTGAACAATGGGACATCAAGGAGGGCAGGCTGCATTTGGCTCCTCCCTCTTCTGGTCTTACACCTGCTCCTCAAATTTTGATGGGAGTCCCTGTCCCTCCTGGGGAGAGCTGCCGCCACTGCATCTCAATACAACAGCACTGCAACACGACAGCGACAAGTCAGAATCCAATGAAATTCAGAGAATCACAGCCAATGGGACAGAAATTCAAGGGAGGGGAACAAACAATACTGTGGGAAAGAAAAAAGTTTAAAAAAAAAAAGGAAATTTGAAAATTGCCTTGCAGATATTTAGGTACCACTGGGTTTTCTTTCTTTTCCCAAATGGGAAGAAGGCACACCTGGCTTGGACCCACCCACAAGTTGCACTGTGTGACCTCTCTGTTGCCAGGGTGGGCAAGGGCTCAGCCACTCTGCCCACTAAAGTGCCCCACCATGGAACATTCTGGAGTCGGCCATCCCAAATTCCATCGGTCCATAGAGACAAGCACAGAGTGAGAAACAGGGGCCTAGACGTGCCACAGAGGGCCCTTTGGTGGGCTGCGCCATGGTGGCATGTGTCATGAAGTGTGAAATCAGAAGAAAACAAAAACAAAAACAGACAACAACCGAAAAAAGAAAGAAAAGGAAACAAGACAGCCTGACAGCACCATAATCCCACAAGCGACAGTCACAAAATAATATCGTTAAACTTTTGTTTTGTTTTGCTTTGTTTCTCATTTTACCACATGGACATCATGGATAATAAGGGATTCTGATTCATTATTAATTTTATTAATTATATTTTCTGATATGAGTCTAGAACTTAGTGCAAAAGCAAGAGACAAAACTAAAAATACACAGGAGAGGGGTGAAGAGAAGCGTGTTTATTAAGCATTAAAAGCAATTAGTGTACTTTTTACCTAGGTTTACAACTGGTGGACCACACACCAGGTCCTAACCACCTGGTGAGGATTTGGCAAATCCACCAGACACACATCTGATTTAACAAACACTCCACCAGCGTTACAGCCTCCTCCTCATTCTGGCATTTCATGCAGACAGCACTATGCTATCTACCTACTGCTTAGAAATGGAAGGTTGATCTGCACTCTATCTTGGTTTCTTGGCTATGCTTCTTTTGATGACATATATTATACAGTATATATATATATATATATATATATACATATATTTTTTTTGTTAGAGTTCTAGCCATTTTGTTTCTCAGCAGGGTCCTTTCTCAGACATTACTGCATGCTGTATATGGCGTTAGCTGTGTGTTGATCTTCTAAAAGATGATAGAGTTTACTGGTAATTGTGTAATCAGATCCTTCCTTTTTTTCTTGGGTTATTTACATGTCAGAGTAATTTCTAAAAAGCAGAAAGGACAACAGAAACAATAACTAATACCAGGCGCAGCATCTTTCCAGGTGTGGCTCTCTGAGGAGGAGGCCGCCAGCTTGGCTTCTCCATCACACCTTGGGGCATTAATGGACAGCAAGCAACTGAACCAACTAAACCAACAGTCAGTCAGTAATCACTTGCTTTAGCCCATTGCGGGAATCCCTGATGCCTTTGTGACTACTGGAGAACTTAACCCTCTTGGTTTATTTTATTTAATTTTCCACCTTCGTGTGAGTGTGTATGAAAGAGAAGAAAAATGCAGTTTTTAGGTAACCATTTTTTTTCCTTCCCCAAAATCTGGGGACCAGAGAGGCCTCGGGGAGGGGTCCTGGATGTGATGAGGGAAAGTGGGATTGGGGGATAGGGGAGGGATGGGTTGTCTCTGACTTGACATTAAAAAGTGTTCCATGTCCCTCTTCACTTGGTGTGATAGCTCATTCTGTAATGGGGGTGGGGCTGTGAATTTGCCTGGCTGTCTGAAGAATGGAAGTGGGGAGCTTGCCTTGGCAAGTGCTCTGCTAAATAGCCAGTGGGGTCTTGAGACTTCCCCCATCCTCCCTGTTGATGCAAAGAGAGCCAAAATTTTCTGGGGACCTTGTCTTCAATACCTTCAGGGAGTTTTGTTGGAAGCTACCTCTATCCTGCTGTTGTTATTCGATTCCTTTGTGGGTCAGATAGTCAAGTCCGGTCACAGCTGTTAGTTCCAATGATTTCATCATGGTATGTATGGAATAACCCCCAATCTTAAGAATTAAAACTCTGAGGACTGACTGCTTTCCATGTCTGTCACCACCACCCCCAAACCAAACATAGACCCATAAATTAAGAGGAAACAAAGATTTCAATATAACAATATTCAAATAATACTAAGACTGATTCTGGAAATGAAACATATAGAAGATTAATTGTGAGTCAGAAATGAGGTATAGGCCTGATAAGTCAGGAATTATGGCCCTTGTAACTTTAGGCATCAGCTTTGCCCCTTAAGGAGTCAGGATATTTGTATGGAGTGCTGGCATTTCCAGTTGCCGATAGCAACATTGACATGGAATCCCTGACTTTATTTCTCTTTGACTCCTTTGTCCTCCCACATCAACCTCACCCTTCACTGGAAATTTCAAGTACCAGACACCTAAATAGTGCGTGGAATAGTCTGGCTAGGTCTTTTAGACCCTGGCTGCGTTGGTCTTACCCATGCCCTGTTTCACAGCCACTGGAAGTAAGGGGCCTTATATTTTCTTAGGATGCAAAGTATGAGTAGAAAATCGAGACAGGAATTAAAAGCAGAGAAAGATTTACCAGATGCAGCAGGTAAGTAGAATGGGGCTTATTTCCAAAACAGTGCTCTCCTAGAACCCAGAAAGTATAGGGAATTGATGCTGGGAGACTGTAACTACTTATTCATATAGGAAAGTACTTTATGTAGTGGGCCCGGAGACACAAACCCATTGCTTTCTGTTACACTGTGTGCTCAATTTTCTCTAAGCCTAAAACTGCTCCAAGAAATAAAGCCAATACTTTCTTAATTATAGGGGGAAACGAATGAAGGTGCCAAGTGAGAGTTTCTAACCTTTCCATGCCTCTGTCAACTGGTGGATTTAGCTTACACATCACAGCTCACCAGAATCAAGTAGAGAAAACATGGATGACAATTGTTTCTAAAGTGGAAGCCAGAAATCCCCCTGGATAGGCTATTTCAGAACAGTTGCAAAGATACACTACCCAAGCTTCACTTGCTGAGACAAGAGAACATGACTCCCAACCTCTGTTGGAATGGATTTCTCTTTCAAATAAACCACTGCTAGATATCTATGAACAGCTACTATACTGCTACTTGCTGACATTACCAATATCATTATCACTAATCATGCCTCAGATCAGCCTATGACCATCATGCCCTGAATTAATGTCAGCCAGGGCCAGCACTGTAAGGTAACACTGATGAGTAAGGCTTGGTTCTATCACTGTCAACTCATGCTCCTTTTGCCTGTGGTTCTTTGGTGATCGGGTTATGGAAGAGCATGTTCGTGGGGGACCGTTTCCCCATCACTGATGGGTTCACCAGTCGACAGATCTCCCTACTGTATCTTGGAAGTAAAAGTTTCTTCTCTTCTGGTTAGCAGATCTATGAGCCCCAGATTGCTTAGGAAACTCAAAGTGAATGGCATTCTCCTTCCTCAGCCTTCAAGTCAATTTAGGGTTCATCACAGAGGCAGTCAGGAGCTGATAGGAACTTAGAGAAAAACTCTTGGTCCTTCCTCTGTTGGAAACAATAATGTGCTCAACCTGTTTATTAGAATCTGTGGAAACAATCATCCAGAATAGAACCTGTGGTGATGTTTTTCTTCATGCCAAATTGAATATAAGTTCAAGTATACTGGACCACTTGTAACTCACAGATGAGACACCATCCTACTTAAGATCCACTCCATCCATCTCAACATTAGGATGTCCCTTAGGGAAAGTGTCATCAGAGACTGGCAATTTACTATACCATGGCAGCCTCTATGAATGCAAAGAAGACAGATGTAGATGAACAAGCCCTAACCATTTTCACCAAAACTCCTATAGTTCTGTTCACCTTCCAACAGAACACCTGCTCTTATCCAGACACACAGATGTGCAATATGTTTCTATCATCCATAAATGAGCCTTCCACACACATACTCTCCACAATGGATCTGAATATCTATCTTGAAACATGGTGACTACTCATTCAAGGTTTGCCCTCTGACTGTAGACAGTACCAATTGGGAGCTATGATCACAGTCAGTGATGCACTAGTGGTCACATTGTGTGCTGTGGCTGGTGATGATGAATGCCAGTTACTGCTCTTTAAGCTGGAGATAAGGTAGTGGATGAATTAACACAAAAATCTGATTGCATGTTGTTGCGTTTCACTAGCTTCTCCCATCTTTATTTTCTACTGTCTGGACCTTGAGTTTATCTTGGAAGACAGTAGCCCTTGTCATTCACAAGAACCTACTGTGTAGATATGTTTGATTAAAAAGTGTACAGTGTGAGCTCAGCAAATCACTGATGATATTCTAATACTATAATTGTGAATAAAAATGAGCTACTTGTCATTTAAAGAGAAAAAATATATGCAAAGGGATGATTATTGAAAACTAGCAATCTTTGTTCATGCAGAACCACAATGCCAGGTGACAAGTACACCTGGCCAAAAGCATCTGTGCATGCCAGTCATTCACTTTCAGCAGACAATCAGCTAAAAACAATTGGCATCAGTAGTGTCTGATAAAGGGAATAAAACCATCTCTTTTCAACTTACAGTTTTTAAAATTCTAAGCCAAATGCCAGAGCTAATTTGAATCAGACCTTGTTCATTGGTATTTGATTGTGTGGTTAGTATTTCCTTTGTTATTCTTTGGCTCCCCAATCAAGCCACTCGAAGCATTGGATCTTCCTTCTCTCTATTCTTAATTTAAACATTATTTCCATGAGCACTTGACTTCATCCTCCTGTAAAGCACTAAATACAAATTAATATCCTCATGATTTGTGAATAAGAACTCTCTGAATCTCTGCATTTGTCTCCCACATCTTCATGAGTCCCCCCATCATGCCTCTATCCCATGATTAGAACCTTGGTAGAAAAGACCCTTTATTTCCTGAGCTCAAGTTGAGGTCAGTTCTTCTAGCTTAAGTCTAATACATTCTGATACATGTATTAGAA